TGATTTGGAAGTAAAATGTCGTGCTACAACCAACCATGTTGTGTCAGACCTCAATATAAATGTAACTGCAGCAACGCAAACGTCTGTGATCCGTGCAGAGTTGCAGATTGTGCCCGGGAAAACTGTTGTTGTGAAGTAAGTTTCCAGATAAGTGGCGTCATGGTAGATTTGAATTCACGACAACCTTGTTAAATGTCCTGAATTTTCATTACAACCTCAGACAGTGCTCCATAGCATACTTTGAACTTCTGATAATGAGTGCCCATTCATAACGTTCAACCACACGGGTTTGTGTTTCCGTTTCTTAAAATCATTCTGGAGTTGGATAAAAGTCAAGCTTAAATATTTGATACAGTTGTCTGAATTTTAGAGAGGGTTTGCTCGACGCTTGCAACGGTTGTTTCACATAACGGACTGCAGCGCTGCACACTTTTGCGATCAAAAAGCACATATCTATGTGATCAGCAAGAGAAGTGAAATGTTTCGTTTATTTTGATTTGCAGGAGGACAACTGCTGTGGGTGCTGTTCCTTGAAACGATGGATGATCGTTACAGCTGTTGGAGTCCTCGTGATACTGATAGTTTTGGCCATCGTTCTCCCATTGACACTCCGGCCATCTTAGCAAGAATGACGACACACACATCAGCAAATCATCAAGTATTCCCCAGAGACTATACCAACTTAAAAATGTTCTACTTGAAGGCTTCTTTCTCTTTCACATCTCTTACGTTTTGCTACTCGCCGGACGGTTTTATCAATTCTCAAGCAAAACGATTTCCTTCTGATAGTTGTATGTGATGGTGGTGATGTTGAAATTAAAAATAAAATTCTTACGAATGAAATTCAAGTAGATGAAATCAAAGTAAATGAAATCACTGTTAGATTATTTTCCAAAATAGTGGTCTTGATAGGATAAGCATAACTTACAAATTATTAATATAGTGTCTTCATAGGCTCTTAAAATCTGCATGGCGTACTTTCCTTAAGTAATTTGACTATTTCAAAGATTTTGTTGTTGAGAATTTGAGTTGAGAACAAGTTCATTTTAAACTTCCGATAAATTGCAAGTTTCAGTATGAACTGTGAGTTTGATCAATCCTGACATGAATGTTTCTATATACTAAAATACCTCAAAGACCATATGAACAACTACTCTACCGATCCAATACAAAATTTAACGATAAAAAAGGTTTACGATGAGCGTAATAAATGTACTTTTGATATTTCTCTCGTCTAAATTTGGGGATTAAAAAAGTTTCCTGAAAATATGAAGTTTTTTTTTCTGTCAGCCAATTATAAAAAGACAAAGCACTCCTTACAAGCATTTAATTTTTATTTTTGCAAACATTTCATTTTCAGTTTTGCAAGCATTTAATTTTCAGTTTTGTAAACATTTCATTTTCAGTTTTGTAAACATTCAATTTTCAGTTTTTCAAACCAGATGTGTTCTAAACTAAAAAAGAAATAAGTAAATAAGAATGAATCGACTATTGCTAATGCTTTGATTTAAGCATATTGCGTACGGGCTACAGCGCATTCAAACCCCGATGAATGCATCTCTTCTGTCTTATACGCTGGAAAGTGTTTCAGAACGATTTGCACATTTTCTGCTTGCAAAACATAATGAAATGCTATCACGTAAAAGAGTTCATTGGTGCGGTAGCTTGCCAGCCATCAACACGCAGTGGTACCGGGCGCTAGGCGCTGTAGCCCCGCGCATGACGTGTCCAGGACACGGTGAGTTTAACTCTCGGAAATAATACTGACTGATTTTACCTATATAAATGACGCTTAATATAGTGATAGTATATAGATAGTGACTGTCACAGATCAATGTTTTCTGCAAGCATTATGATTGTATTTAAAACAAAACCTGATTTTTACTGTAAAAACATTATCTTCAGTTGTGTTTAATTTCAAAAACGATGATTTAATTAATAGCGATTTTCATGGAAAATTTAAATAAAATGTCACTGTGTGAAAAAACACACGAGAAAACCACGCGTTTCATGACACAGTATTCCAATGTTTGCCCAGAAAAGAAGGGACAGCTTTGCCAAAATGAGAGGCGTTTGCGGCTACATTGTGCGATAAGCCCTGGCGAACTTTGAATAACCAGAAAAAGTGAAATAAAACACATGGGTTTTTGTAGTATTTTTCAAAGAACATGTGTTTTTGTTCCACATCTTAGGTATATACGCAAAATCCCAATACCATTACGTTCTATTCAGAAACCTAGGCTGCTACGGCGCACCTTTCTAAAAATAGAACAATACCTACAACAAAAAGCAGGAGCGAGTGTACAAAGTCAGACTACCGGACAATACGATTTGCATGATTATTATAATATCCAGTTGCAACTCTGATTGGTTGATTATTTTGGGCAAAAAAAAAAAGGCGAAACCTCGTCTACATTAGCGGCATATTTTCTTTTGCAACGCAGTAGAGGATTGGACTAACATATAAAGTGCGTTTAGTACGAATAGTACGCTAAGGGCCAAAAAAGAGTAGAAAAGCGACATTTTGAGAGCAAACACAAAATCCCAAAATGAACCAGGCAAATCGCAGCAGAAGCAACTTTCAGACTGAAGCAACAAATGCCAGTGTTGCAGAACCAAGGCGTGGACCACAAGTGAGTGTCACAGTTAAAATATTGATACTATAGAACTACAGATGAAGTAGCTAGTTACTGCGAGATTTGTTAACTCATTACGAGGAAACTCACATAGTGGTCTTCAAATTAATGAAGTAATTATAAACAAATTTGCAACATGCACCATCCTCTTCATTAATACAAGAAATCCAAATTTGCTGACGGCAATATTCATTGAAGATGTTATTTTTTTCCCGCTAAAGAAGACCCTTCTGAATTCTCTTGTTTTCAAAGGGCAAAACATTATGGCGGTGCAAAGATTGCTCAAAGGTGTGTAAGTCAAAAATCGGACTTTGGAGTCACCGCAACTCCAAGCACTAGAAAGATCAAGAGAGAATCTGAAACCTGGTGAAGATCTCAGGTATGATAATGCAATTTACAGCCGAATCAAACAGTGCGTCCATGTAACTTTTTCTACAAAAAAATTATAAGTAAAACCATGGCAAATTAGCAAACCCATTAATAAATTACTGCATTGTACTAATAAATCATATAACATGGAGTGCTTGGGTGGTTTCAGTTTTCTGTTAACCCATCGGAAAACAAACGTTTTTCGATTTGTACAAACTCAACTGTTCTCAATGCCAGTTTGGAGTAAATACTAAGTTTGGTTTGCACATTTCTCCGTTATTTCCTGCAGGTCTTTTTTTTCTGCGGCTTCGAAGTGAGTCTGGCATGACTATCACATCCGCTTCCATGACCGACTTGCAGACAAGCTAATAATGTCCTATTTTAAAGTTATCAATTCAAAAGTAGATTCTTCTCCGAATAATTTTTTTAAAATAATCCTTAAATTCTTTGCTTGGATAATAATGTTATGCATTCTTTTTGATAGCAAGATGTCGCAGATATGATCAGAACTTTTTAACAGCTTTGTTTTACTTTAGAATGATAATCGTACAATAATTTCATCTTGAAATCATGATCAGTTTTTTGGATGAAGTTAAGATAAATTACACGGACAAGTAGTATTAAATTAAACAGAAGTTAGCAGCCTTACACATTTAAAAACAAAAACCAGTACGGTAGAAAAGGCGGACCGACTTCCCGCTAGAAACGGCACCGTGAGAAAGCTAGTTGTTTACGGCCTTTAACCCTAACTCCCTAGGGGGTGCGCAAAATCATATTGAAATTGGAGGATTGAGAACTGTTAGGATACAGGGCTTAACAACTCTCACCTTATGAGACCAGTCAACACGGGGGGGGGGTCCAAGTCAAACGAAGTTGTCTCATGTTTATGAAATAACCGAGACTTGTTTCCATTGATTATAGGAAGCAGAATCAAACAAAATGATATCACTGTATTTTCTCTAATGGCAGAGCACTGCAAATTATGTTGCTTAGAGAGGTTATTCGTGTGTATTTTGCCAGTCACGACACAAGTATTTTGTACCGTCAGGTAGGCGCTGTAGCCCCATGCACAATGTGCCCGTGACGCGGTGATTATTGTTCACTCTCGGAGCTTCGCTTAAGCGCATAACGTTTCAAGTTAATGGTATTCATCTTTTGCTTGTTTTTTTTTTCAAAATTAATATTCATAGCCTTTTACTCACTGTTATGATGATGAAATGTAATCGCATTTGTTTCTGATTAAATTTTCTAATAAATACCAGAAAGGAGAAGAAATGTGTTTGTGATGGTGTAAGTGTTTTTGTTTTAATTACTATAAATCCGCTTTATGAATACACGCGGGGGTTCAAATCACACGAGGTTTAACCTCATGTTAATAAAAATACGTTTAAGTTGTTTCCATTGATTAACAACCAACATGTTTAACATTGCATTTTTAAACAAAGCTCCTTACATTTTATTTTCTGCTGTGTTTTAGTTCAGAAACGATTATGTGATGAAATAGCGCGATTTTCATGATAAAAATATCAAATAAAACGCCACTGAGACTTAGAACAAATAAATAAAGCGTTTGATGGTAAAGTACCTTTTTGTTTTGCACAGAAGCTCCAAAAAAGGAGAGAAATAAAAGAGAAAAGACGAAAAAGCCACAGGAAATTAAAAAAAATCTAACTGGTGAAATTGTCGAATTCAAGTCGCTTTTCATTCAATACCGTTACAGAAACATTGTGAACACTTTATTTTTTTTTACATTTATGACCTGCTTGTGCTTCCTTGATGCGCACTGCATATCAAACAGAATATGACATAGACCCACAAGCCCGAGCGAATGCATAAGGTCCGAAGGGCGGTCAGTACAATTGCATAATTATTGAAATTTTCAGTTGCAAGTATTCTGATTGGTTGATAATTTGTTGGCAGCCAAAAGCCCGCCAAACCACGTCTATTTCAGCAACGTCACTCCGTTTACAGCTCAGATGTGGTTTGAGGATATAAGTGGCAAATAGTTACCATTTTTGGGAGCAGTCATTTTTGAGAGCAAAGAAGTTAAAAAAATGAGCCAGCCTAAGCGAAGGAGAAGGAACTATCGGACCAGCGTGCCAAACGCAAATATTGCTGATACAAGGCGGGGCCCAGGTGGAAACAGAGTGAGAGTCGCATCTAATTTGAATGGATACTGATAGTTTGAGAAAACGTTACTATGACATTTTCTGATATTATTCAAAAGGAAAACCACAAAGTTGACTTTAAATTAATGGTGGCATTTCAACAAATTTGTAACGCTCGTCATCTGTACATATTGATTTATACAAGACCTTAACATTTTCAGTAAGCTTAGCGAAACAAGAATTGATAGGCTGTTTTTTTCCCCAGAGAAGGTCATCCTTAATGCAGGGGTTTATAATTTCTTGTTTTTAAAGGGCAAGTTATGGCAGTGTCCGATCTGTCCGAGTGTGTTTGGGTCTCGAATCGCACTTTGGAGTCACATGCGGTGGAAACATGGAGTCGGAATGTAAATACAGAAGGTAAAGATGATTAAATTTGGACTCGTATACAATTACACGTTATCGTAACATAGTCCACACGGAGTAAGTTGTTCAGTTAAAGCATGAGAAACAATCCGTACTCCCAATTTTCTGTTTACAACGAAAAAAAACGTCTTCCAATTTCAACACAGTTCTCAATGCCAGTTTGAAATTAATATTTAGCTTGGTTTGTCGTACATTTCTCCGTTATTTCATGCAGGAGGTTTTCTGCTTCGGGGTGAATCTGGCTGGCCTACTATATCATCCACTCTCCGGCCAACTCATCCACGAGAGAATGATTTCAATTCAAAACCTGATTCTTCTCAGTGTGATATTAAAAAACAAAAATCCTTCGATTGTTTGCTTGTCTTAAAAATTAGGGCGGCCTGACCTTGCGATCTAACAAGGTCTTCTTCTTCTTCAGATATTTTTTTACTTGGGTAGTTGTTGAGTAAATTCTGCATAATGTCTGATCAGCACGATGTCGCAGATATGATTAGAACCTTTTGAGCAGCTTTCAGTTTTACTTTAGAATGATAATCTTACAATATCATTTTTAAAGTTATGATCAGTTGTTTTTTTATGAATCTGAGATAGATTCCGCAGAGAAGTAGTGTTAGATTAAACAGAAAAATGCATTCAAAACGGGGTAAGCAGCCTTGCACGCTCATTAAAAAAACTACGGTAGTAAAAGCGGACCGACTTCCGCCATAAATGACACCGTGGAAAGTTCGTTGTCTACGGCCTACATGGTTGTCAACAACTGTGACTATACACACGATGATTCCCGTCAAACAACACCTCATAGCAATTTATTGATTGAGTTATTTCCATTTATTAAGCACCAGAATGTTTTTTTTAGTTATCTCATTATATGTTATGGCAAAACACTCCAAATACTGCCGCATGAACTGGTGTTTTACGTTACCAGTCACGACGACTGTTTGTACCGAGAGGTAGGCGCTATAGCCCCGTGCACGACGTGCCTGCGACACGGTAGTAATAGTTCACTCTCGGAACTGCGCTTCAGCGCTCAACTTTTAAAGTTAAAAGTACACGTATTCATCTATTGCTTTGTATCCATCTTTTGCTTCTTCTTTTTAAATTAAAATGTATAGCCTTTTGCTCAGATGGGATGATGTCATGTAATCGCACTTTTTATGATAAACGAGTCTCATTAATACCAGAAAAGGAGAAGAAATTGTTTGTCATGATGTGTTTTTTGTATGTATTAAAACTCAGAGAGAATGGTGATTTGCTTTTAACCGAGATTTGATAAAGTGGTCCCATGATCTTCGACTCAGGAACGATTCTGACATTTTCTTGACTATTTTGCCCAGAACCCTACACTTATCGGAACTATTTGCCCAAGAATTGTCACTTGAGAGCTATGATGAGTAGTATTATAATTAGAGAGAATGATTTGGCATATTAATCACCTTACAAAAACCCCTGAATTTCGAGAGGAAAAAAAACATCATTTTTTCCCTATTACCAAGCCATGAAAAAAAAATTGGCGGGAACGGTGAGGAGTTACCAAGGTGACAAGGTTTCCATTGTGAGAACGACAAAAACGTACAGATGACGACCAGGCATCGTCATGTGATCATCTCCCCCCGCAAGAAAAAAATCCATAAAGGAATCAAATACTCACCTCAGTTGGGTTTTTCCCCCTGACCGATGTCGCAACACCAAAACTCCTCACGAACTCCACGTTACAAAACACAAATATATATCCAGGGCGTATCTCCAGAGTGACCGACACCTTATGCGGATCATAAGATGGTATTTTGGCCTAAAACTGGGTTAAAATTTCGGCAAGCCAGCAGAGAGGAAGAAAGACAGACTTCCCGATTCTGCCGTTCATGCACAATGCCAGACTGTGGCCGCACAGTACGCAAGGTCCATGGTACAGTACACGCCTATAATACCATTCAATACAGGACGTGTAGGCGGCTCATTAAGGGATCGTCTCCATGCATTTTTTTTTACTATTTCCTTTACATGTATATCTCCAAGGTTTTTTTTTTTTTTTTTTTTTTTACATGTACCGACACTAAAATAACATATTTAGAGGGAATGTTTGGTAATTTTAGTTTAATGGTGAATGTTTTAATTAGCTGTTTGGGCATGTTTTAATTTGTGGTTCCTTTGATCTTATTGTTTGTCTGGTTGTCTGGTTTTTATTTTTCTAAGCATCACAATTGGTTGATGACTATGAAAATATAATAATAGTGACTCTGTGAACATCAAAGTCACAACGTAATTATGAGAATACAGCTGCTCTCCCTTTATTTTACAGAATATTGTTTACATGTCCTCATATGGCACAATATTTGGTTCTCGATTAAAAAAAATATTTGAGGCCAGTTGGCCTGGTTCACGGCTGAATAACGTTATAACCAGAAAAAAAAAAATACTCAAACAAACAAGCACCACCACCCCCTGATAATCAGTGAGGCATTTTGTTTACGCGTTTATAATCGGTTGGGTTATAGGTTAACGCCCATAAAAGATTTGGTGCGGTTTGGTCAAATGAGGGCGCTGTTGATAATGTGTGGTTCCATCGTTCTTTCCTTTATTTAACGAAAATCCAGACTGCAAAACAAAGCTGCAAAATGTTTGCAGATTTTTCTCAAATAATCTTTAGAAATTTTAAGTAGTGGAAGAATTATAGAGCTTTGCAAAATGCTTGAATTAAGTCCTTGCCCAATAACAGACAAAAACTTGAACACTTTTACCGGATCACCAACAGAGAACACAAAATCTATCATTGTATTTATTGCTCTCAGACCCAACAACCTCCAAGTCACACAAGAACCAACCCATGGCCTAATAAGCTTTGTAATAATGCAACAAAACTTGAGGGAAAAAAACGGTTGTACGTGCCATTTTTACTCTATGATGTCGTTTCCTCCAAAACTACTGGCACGCCCAAACGTTTACGGTCAACAACAATGGCGCCCTCTATCATTGACTTGCTCGTCGCAAATTCCTTTTGCTGGCGCACGGTATTGCGCCCTCTATTGGCGAAATGGTCTTACTATAAAAGGAGTGGCGATTGGAATTGCATTGTCGGTCTAGATATAAAGAATACAAACGAGTTTTTAGAACTTTATTGAGAAATATTACTTTGCAACCGACTTACTATTGAATTGAGCAAAATTTTGATCAAAATAAGGGCTCTATAATATTGTTAAACAAGTCTAATTACAGAGAAATAACTGAGTCATTTTATAAAACGTTATATTTTATTATCCAGTCCAAATAACACGTTATCAAGTGCAGTGTGTATTGCCAATTCTTAAAAGAAAGTTGTTGAGAGATCTCTGTGGTAAATAACATTTAAAATAGAATAGAGGGCATATTGAACACTGGAATATTCGTACACATAATTCTGTTTAACAGATAAAAACAAAATGATGTGAGAATTTAGGGTTTTCTAATTAAACAAACATCTGTCATTTAATTTTATTTCAGAAGAAAAATGTGTAGATTGTTTCCCAGAAAAATCGATTAAATCAACGCCGGGGAAGTTCAGGCACGTTTATCTAATGCTATTATGGTTCTTTTAATACAGCGGTGACTAAACAATGCTATTAAAAATACGCCCAAAATGCCGTAAGGTTCTGATACAATCTCAATACAGAAGTCCTTGAAAAATAATAGGTTAATTTCCGTAGAAAGCGGTCAAAGAAATCTTCGGATCAATTCCAAGAATAATTGGTTGTTTCTCTGTCCGGAGGAGTGGAGGGTTATGACGTGACAAGTTTCCAATGATGACACGGGATTTGAACTCGAGCGGTTCTCCGAGTGAATTAAGTACCGTGCTTCATCCATTTTTGCCGGTCGGCCAACCCATCACGCCCTTCGCTAGTTTCCAATTTCCTTGGGGAGTCTGCTAGACGCGTAGGCGTGAGTAAGACCCGCATTCACGTCTTGTGCATGCATGATTGCGAGAATCTCCGTAGGATTCTCCGTTGTGATACCTGCCCGAGGGCTGACTTCATCTCTATGGCTTACCCGTAGATAACTCGCCCCGACCTGATTGCAAACCAGATGGAAAACGCGGAGTGATCGTCTCTGGAGTTTGTCTCTTATTGTCCTCGAGATTGAATTCGATCGAGTATCAAAAATCCTATAATGCAAAGGTATTCGAAACACACTTTCGGAGACTACATAACTGTGAACCCGATAATATGAACCATTAAGTACCGATTCTCAACTCCCCTCTTACTCCTGAGCAAATTTTTTTAATATTGCTCGTTTTTAAATGTTACAGAGCAACCTGAATTCATTCGTACAGTCGTATTACTGTATCGATGTGGACCCCAGGGCCTTTATGTCCTGTCATACTTGACCTATTTCCAAAGCCACGCGTGCATGCAGGCAATATCTTAACGCATTTAGACTTGAAATTTGCACATGCTAATACATGTAGTTTCAAGTTTATCCGCCTTTACCGGATTACATGGTTGCACAAGAACGCTCGCTTGAGGACGAATGTCTACTTTAATAGTTATTCCCATGATTCCATCCTCTTGTCGATGCATCCCGGAAACGAAGTGTCACCATGATTATTTTTTTGTCACCCATTCCAAGTGGACATGGATCATTCAGTCGCCTCAAAATACGGAGAAATCGGTTAAGACACCTGATGATACAAAGCACTTTAAAATGTACCAAAAAAAATACATATTTTGTCTGAAAAATTAAAGTTCGGTGAAGATACCAGTGTCAATTTAAGAATGGTTTTGGTAGTTTTGGTCACTGTGAAGGAGCCAAGTCATCCCACATGCATGGTTATTAAAGAGCTTTTAAGGGGCTTTTAAATACAATCAAAACGGATCTACCATGTGGGATTGCTACGAGCAAGCGAGGAAGCCAAGCCTACGCTAATGCCAATTGCATCGATCCCGGTATCTCTCGTTCTAACTGCTTTGACCCTTTTTTAGGCCTCCGGTAACTGTTGATTCACAAAATGTGGTTTATTTTAAGGCAAACGGATTGCCAAGCAAGCTTCCTACGAAAGCCCTGTTCGGAATTCAATTAAAACGCGGAAAAATTGTATTTTCAATTTCGTTCTTTTGTAAATGTATACAGGTATTTTTTTCAACATCTGACCACTGTTGTTTAACTAATCGTTGTTCAAACTGATCATTTGCTATTTTTAAGTCATTTGTCAGAATGCCTTATTATTTTTATGACTTTGCATTATTCGTTAAAATAGCGAGATAGGAAGTCAAGTGATTACTCATCCATAGATAGATAATGTGACGAGTACTAAAAAGCAACATTATTATGTACATGACTTGACTTGTAGGCCTAGTCTACTCCGAAAACGGGGCGTAGAGGCATTGAAGCATTTCGTGCAAATAACATCATGGAAACCATCAAGACGCTCATTTAAATTTTAAATTTTCTTCCAAACCTGATTTCAATCGATAATCCATTAAGGTTATTTTTACCCACCAGAGTGTCCACAGTTTAATTACATTAAACTGTTGACATTTCTGTATCTGGTAAGATACCCGTAGAGGCGTAGACATTGCGTGTGTGACGTTGGTGTTGACTGAAAACGTTACCACGCTGCCGATATTGCCTTCACCTTTTGGGGTACGTGGAGTATAAGCATCGTACCTCGATATGGGCTATTGCTTTTGGAGGTATTGGACATCTTTTTAAAGGAAAAAGTTTCACGTATTTGTCCTGTTTACTTGAAGATTTTTAGTTGCCGTTTTTGTTTTATAG